GCTGAAGCCTTAAATTCAATGGATCTCTGTTGGAATTTTAATGATACAATTAAGGTTAAATGTGGTCAGAAGTGTAAGACCCTAATGCAACAGACCTGTTGTATTTATAAGAAGAGGAAGAGACACCAGAGACCTCTCACTTTGCACGTGCACGCAGAGAAGAGGCCATGTGGAGACGTAGTGTATTAGAAGGTGCCCCAGTGCCTGCCAGAAAGAAGCCGCACCAAGAACCAAACCTGCCAGCACCTTGATCTTCAACATTCAGACTTCAAAATTTTAAGCAAATCAGTATTTGTTGTTTCAGCCACCCACTCTGTGTTGTCTTCTTATGAAGACCCGGACAGACTAATACCACATAACTCTGTTAGCACTGTCCCCTGGATGGAGAATCAGCCCCTTGAGACTGGGCACATCTCTCAGATTTCTACATAAAGTAGGCAAAAAATAGTAGCTGTGATATAAAAACTTGTCATGTCCCTGTTGGCCAGTTTCTGGGCAAAGTGTTTTAAAGAAGCCCCTGGGGCTTTGTCACAAAAGTTGTCTTTTATCTTTTCTGACGACCTAACTAATGGACAATTGGTACCAGCTGGATGGAGACTGACCACTGACCATCTTCTGCTGTCTCCTTACCATGCCACAGAAAACCACACCAACATCACTCTATGTCTTCAACTTTCCAAATTTGCACTGAATCTATTGCTAAATGAGGAGCTACATGAGGTCTGAGTTTTGTTCCCTTCTTCCCAGTCTTCCTCAATTACCAAGGGCAGAAGAGACTTTCAATGAAATTTGGCTGTCAATGCCCCCAACACCATATCACTTTTTAAGGTACAGGAACTTTATTTGGGGGATAGTGAAACACACTTTTTAATGAAAAGCCCTAAAGCACATACAACAGCTGAAGGAATGGCCACTTTGTACCTGAAGGCGGATGAGTCAGATGGTAGGGTCCCTTCCTCCAAGATGGTCCTGGGTGTGTGATGGTTGGATGCCTCATGCATATGGAATTAAGGACTGGACTGAGGTAGAAACAAGGGCCATATCCCACAGGAAAACAAAACAAGAAAAAAACAGATGGGCATCCGTGAAGACCGTTAATTAAATTTGTTGGGCTTAAGATGAAATTTTTTTCCAAAGTTTTTAATGTTCTTAGCTAAACATGAATCTTTTCAATGAACTGAGAATTAAAAGGAGAATGGAGTTAGAAGTTGAGTGGAAAAGTCCTGAGAGAGCAGAAAGAAAATTCACACAAAACTTTCACATGGCAGAGGCCAGAATGGAGCTGATGCAGCAATGTCATTATTCTGCAGACCTAGTTGAGACCCTTTGGTGTTTAAGGCAGGCCCAGCGGCGAAGAACTCCTTTAGTTTTTGCTTCTCTGGGAAAGGTCTTACCTATCCTTTGTTTTACAAAAAGATTTACATGGTAAAGTTTCTTGGTTGGCAGAGTTTTGTTTGTTTTTCAGCCTTTTTCCCCCAGCAATTTGAGTACAGTCATGGGCCACCTAACAATGTTTCAGTCAACAATAGACCTCATATATGTTTGTGGCCACATAACTTTGTAATACCATATTTTCACTAAGGATGTTCTATGTTTAGATGTGTTTAGATAGAGAGATACTTACCACGGTGTTTCAGTTCCCTGCAGTGTTCAGTGCAGTAACACCCTGTACAGGTTAGTTGTCTGGGAACACTGTGCTATTCCACATAGCGTGTGTGTAGTTGCACATTCCCTGTAGGTTTGTGTAAGTTCACCCTATGATGCTTACACAGTGATGACACTGACTAGAAACACATTTCCCAGAAATAATCTCTATCACTGAACCATACGTTATTGAATATAATTCCTCTCCATTCTGGACTGAAAACCTTATGCTGAGAAATCTGCTAAATCTGCTCTTTTTCTTTCTGTTTTCAAAAACTTTTTCTTTTAACAATGTGGTTTGAAACTATCTCAGATTTTTCTCATTTGGTTTACCTTACTTAAAATTTATAGAGCTTCTTGGATGTGGATGAATATTTGCTTTTCCAGATTTAGAAAGTTTCTATGCTATTACTTCTTTGGAAAATCTTTTCACACATCTCTCTCTCTCTCTCTCCCCCCCCCCAACAAACACACACACACACACCCTCTTCCTTCACTACCCCTTTTGTATGCAAAAATAAGACTATTTTTGCATAACTCCTCAATGCATAATTTAGTTTTCAATGTGCTTCCTGACTCCTAAGTCTTTAACTCTATTTTATTTTTTTCATTGAAATTTTCCTTCTCTGTCTCTACTATTTCAAATGATCTTTCTTTGAGTTTACTGTTTCTTCTATTACTTGATCTAGTCTGGTCTAAAATCCTCTGTTAAAATTTTTGGCTGACTTATTGTATTCTTCAGCATCAATAGTTTTGTTTAGTCATCTCCTAAATGTTTTATCTCTGTTAAAATTCTCGCATTGTTCTTGCATGATGCCACTAGCTCATCGAACATGTTTCTAACATTTACTTAAAGTTTTCTGCCAGGTAAACCATATGCTTCCCTTTCACTGACGTTGGTTTCTGGACCTTTATGTTGTTCTTCTGTTTGGACCATGTTCCCCTCCTCCTTCATTTTCCCTGACTGTCTTTGTTGCTATCTGTTCATTATAACGAAAGCCACCATACTCTCTTCCAAGACGAGGCTCATAGAGATCACCCTCACCAGTCAGCCCAGAGAGTAATTTTGGGTCACTCAAAATTTCAAAGTATTCAAACTTCTGTCTGTTCTTAGTGACTCCCAGGATTTAGAAGATGACTGATTCTTCCTGGTAGGGGAAGTAGAAACTATTTACTCAGGCAGCCCCTTGAAAAGTTGGGCCCCTGGACAAAGTTTTGTTATTGAGGTATGATTCATCAAAATAATGTTAGTTCAAGCTTCCCTCAACCAGTCATTAAATATTGAAATGTTATAATTTCTTATTTGGATCTGGGGTTTATTACTGGGATATTTAGCTAAAATCACAAACTAATTTAAATCTGCGTATTTGGCAAAATGATCTGCTGCCAAATTTCCATTTTCTGTGTTATCTCTTTTTGCATTTAAATCTAAGTCTGTATTAGACATGCTTCCAGAACGTGGAAAAATGTCTTAAAGTTCTCCAATTTATTTAATTTAATGGAGTTTCCAGAAGATGTGAAAATCTCCTTTGTTTATCAAACACCTGACTATTGGTCAATAGTTTTCTCTTTAATTTTTCTCTCTCCTCTCACATTATCTATAATAAGCAAGGAGAAATGAAGACACACCATCGACAGTTTGCTTAGACATCCCACCACCTAAAATTCTAACTGTCACTTACTAATTCTAACTTCATCCAATGTAACATAACTAAGATATAAATTCTATAACAGGGTACTCATAGTTTCCAGTTCTAATACCACGTTTGTGATAGAAACAAAGCAGGCGTGCTCTCTGCGAGGTGGTCATCTGAGGTCTGAGACGAGGGGTCACACAGGTATTTTTATGATATTTAAGGGATTGGGCAACAACAGTGGTAACAATTCTGATCATCACTGGCTCTTACCGGAAAGTTTACAAGTAAAGTTACTGCTGTTATTTGATTTTAACACCTAGTTAGAATGAAACTCAGAGGAAGAGGTCACATCCTAGGTCACACAGTGAGGAGGAATGGAGCTGTGCTCTGCTCTCCACACTACGCACAAGGTCCCAGGCATGGGCCCAGGTTCCACTGACACGTGGCATCTGGAGGGCAGTTCTCAGGGGATGGCCTTAGCGCACCTGCTTCCTGGGGCAGGGCGCTTCCTTCTCTCAGTTGTGCACTTGCTCCTTCTGCCAGCTCTGAAGTGACCACTTGCATTGCCATGAATCATTCATATTCTCTCCCTTATTATGGCAAAAAGTATATTTATTAAATTTTCAGTTCATTTTCTCTGAGGCACACTGCGTTAGCAGAAAGGAATAAATCACATTCCTTAACCTCCCACACAGCCAAAGATTCCTGAAGTCAGAGCTGATGTGATGTACTCATAGGTGGATTTCTGCTCCACGGAGGTGGCCTTGGTCTTCAAGTTTCAGCAATGCTGGGAAGCCAAGGACTCTCTATCTCCTCCTCCCTGCTCTGCAGCTCACCTGAGAACAGCTTTCTTATTGGAATATCATCTGTTTAAGGAATACAAGTCCCTGCTTTAGGATTTGGGGCCTGAGTGCACCTTCTGGATCCAGCCCAGGACTGGAGATACTTTCCAGAACACAACATCACCTGAGACATGTCCAGTCACACTGTTTTAGTTGCACAATTTCAGCTTCTTCAGAAGAAAATTAAAATTGCTGAGACTTTTTCATAACCATTGTGCCATGTCCTTTTTCTGTTTTCTTGCCTGTTCATTTATGTCAGACCAGGTGCCACATCTATGTAATCAGATTAGAATCCTGTTTCCAGTAACACATGAAGAGGACCTTTGGTTGTACTTTTGGTCTTTGCTCCAAAATGTAAAGATTACAAAAGTCATCACCTCATTCTTATGTCAAGAGGCGTCTGCACAATCTGATCTTCAGTATCTTTGGGAATTCATCAAAGGAATGAAATTCCAATCAAAAATTTCCCACTCCCAAAATGGGAGAGACAGGTATGTCCAGAATGGCAATTGACACTTGCTTTACTGGAACAGAAGCTGCAGAAGAATATATATACACACACACACATACACACACATACACACACAAACACACACATGTGTACATATATACCTACATATATACATGCATACATATATATGTACATAAATACATACATACACACACACACACACACACACACACATATATATATAAAACAAGCTGTTGAGGGCACTTACATGGTAAGAACTCTAGACGTCTGAAAGACAGATGTGGACTATGGTGAAGTGACAGTTCCAGAGGGCCGAACACTCCTCAGTCTTCTGGACTTTCCCTCCAGAAACCTCCAGATTAGGAAAAAAAAAAAAACAATCCAAATATGTTTCCTATGGGTCAGAAGTGGGGAAGTTATAATTACTGAAAACTGTACCAAGAGCCTTCTCCAGAAGATCCTACAGGGAAGAACTTTTCCAGCACCTTGTCCTATGTGAAGAAAGACAAATCTGCCATTCTAGATCCCTCCCCCATTCTTCCATGATTGTATGAAGATGTAAGTAAATAGCGCATAGACAGGTAAGATGTAAGCAATTAGTCCAAGTAAGATGTAAGCAAATAGTCCAGGTAAGATGTAAGCAAATAATCCAGGTAAGATGTAAGCAAATAGCCTAGGTAAGATGTAAACAAATAGTCCAGGTAAGATGTAAGCAAATCCAGGTAAATAGTCCAGGTAAGATGTAAGATAATCCAGGTAAGATGTAAGAAAATAGTCCAGGGACACTGAAACCACAAAAGGCAGTAAAGATGAAAGTTGAGCTTTACCCCTGGAGACGCCTGGTCAAGGTCACAGCCACTGCAGAAACCTCACTGCAAGGCAAGGCTGGGCTGGAGGGGGCACTCAGGAGCCACCAAGCACCAGTTCCAACCCCAGAGCAGGTGTACAGAAGGATGGGGAGGAAGTTTCCTCTCAGGTGTCTTCCTTTGTCAACAACAACAAAAACTATGTGTTCAACAAGTTGCTGATGTGCCTCTAAATATCCTGTTACATCAGAACCATTCATATAATTTAAGGCAA